ATTGGTTAAATATCCTTTGTTTAAAGATCTTTAATCTAGGGAAATCTACCAATCCTTCCGTTCCACCTTTTATACAGTACATTCTACTTTTGGATAGCTCTAAGTGTTATGAAGATTTTCCTTATTCCTAAATCTGACTCTTTGCAACTTGCCCACATTGCTGCATATTCTTTCCGTATTCTTTCCCAACAGAATGTTAATCTGTTTTTCACGTACTTGAGGGAAACTATCAGGGTTTACTTCTCTACTCTTCTCAGGCTATACATTCCTCATTCTTTCAACTAACTTTTTTATGGTACATTCTTTTGACCATCTGTCATCTTGGTTGTCATCTTTTGGATACTCTTATGTTTTTCAATATCCTTCCTTAAACGGGGTGTTCAAAATGACACATATTACTTACCAGTGGGGTCACTTCTGAGTAGAATACATTGTGTGGTCACTTCCCTATTCCTGGACATTACCACTGTTTATTATAGCATAAAAATCACATTAACTTTCTTGATTTGCCATACCACCCTGTTAACTTATATTTCTGTTAACATATTTACTTTACATTTCATTTAACCTCCTCTTATGATTTTCAAATGACCTCCTTTCTTTTTTTTAATTAGTTAATTAATTTTTAGTTTCCAACATTCCCTTCCGCAAGATTTTGAGTTCCAAATTTTCTCCCCGTCTCCCCTCACCCCACCCCAAGACAGCATGCGTTCTGAATACCCCTTCCCCCAATCTGCCCTCCCTTCTATCACCTCCTTCCCACCCTCTTATGTGCTTCCCCTTCTATTTTCCTGTAGGGCAGGATAGATTTCTATACCTCAATGTATATCTTATTTCCCAGATGCATGTAAAAACAATTTTTAACATTTGTTTTTAAAACTTTGAGTTCCATTTTTATAGCCCTTTGGGCATAGTTCCAAATTGTACTCCAAAATGGTTGAATCGTTTCACAGCTCCACCAATAGTGCATTAGTGTTCCAATTTTTCCACATCTTCTCCAATATTTATTATTTTCCTGTTTTGTCATGTCGGCCAATCTGATAGGTGTGAGTTGTTTTGATTTTCATTTCTCTAATCAATAGTGATTTAGAGCATTTATTCATATGACTATAGATGGCTTTAATTTCTTCATCTGAGAACTGCTTGTTCTTTGACCATTTATCAGTTGGGGAATGACTTGTATTCTTATAAATTTGACTTAATTATCTATATATTTTAGAAATGAGGCCCTTATCAGAGACACTGGTTGTAAAAATTCTCTCCCAATTTTCTACTTTCCTTCTAATCTTGCTTGCATTGGCTTTGTTTGTGCAAAAACTTTTCAGTTTAAAGTAATCGAAACTATCCATTTAGTATTTTGTAATGTTCTCTGTCTCCTGTTTGGTCATGAATCCTTCTGTTCTCCATAAATCTGATAGATAAACTATTCCTTGCTGTTCCAGTTTGCTTATAGTATCAGTCTTTATATCTAAATCATAAACCCATTTTGGCATACAGGGTGAGATTTTGGTTTATGCCTAGTTTCTGCCATACTCTTTCCCAGTTTTCCCAGCAGTTTTTGTCAAATAGTGACATATACCCTTTGACCCAAAAATAGCCCTGCTAGGTCTGTATCCCAAACAGATCATACAAATAGGAAAAGGACCCACATGTACAAAAATATTTATAGCAGCTCTTTTTGTGGTAGAAAAGAATTGGAAATTGAGGGAATGCCCATCAATTGGGGAATGGCTGAACAACTTGTGGTATATGAATGTGATGGAATATTATTATGCTATAAGAAATGATGAGCAGGCAGACTTCAGAAAAACCTGGGAAGACTTGCTGAGTGAAGTGAGCAGAACCAGGAGAACGTTGTACACAGTAACAGCCATGTTGTGCAATGACTAACGTTGATAGACTTAGACCTTCTCAGCAATGCAAGGATCTAAGACATCTCTAAGGGTCTCATGATGGAAAATGCTATCCACATCCAAAGAAAGAACTATGGAGTTTGAATGCAGATCGAAGCATACTATTTGCTATTTTTTTCTTCTAGTGTGTTTTGTTGCCTCTTTCTAATTCTTCATTACAACATCACTAATGTGAAAATATGTTTAATAGAAATGTATTTGTATAGCCTATATCATATTGCAAGCTGTCTTGGGGAGGTGGGGAGGGAGAGGGAGAAAAATTTAAAACTCGAAAGCTTATGGAAGTGATTGTTGATAAATCAAGATAAATTAATTAAAAAAAAAAAAAACTTTGAGTTCCAAATTCTCTCCCTTCCTCCCTCCCTACCTACCCTCATTGAGAAGGCAAGCAATTTGATATAGGTTATACATGTGTAGTCATGCAAAACACTTCCATAATAGTCATGTTGTAAAAGACTAACTATATTTTCTTCCTTCCTATACCGCCTCCTGTTTATTCTGTTCTCTTCTTTGATCCTGTCTTTCCTCAAAAGTGTTTGCTTCTGATTATCTCCTCCCCCAATCTTCTCTCTCTTCTATCATTTCCCCTCTCTTATCCCCTTCCCCACCTATTTTCCTGTAGGGTAAGAGATTTCCATTCCCATTTGAGTGTGTATGTTATTCCCTCCTTAAGCCAAATCTCCTGAGAATAAGATTCACTCATTCCCTCTCCCCTCTCCCCTCTTCCCTTCTACTGTAAAAGCTTTTTATGTGAGATAATTTACCCCATTCTACCTCTCCCTTTCTCCTTCTCCCAGTCCTATCCTCTCTCACCCCTTAATTTTTTTTTTTAGATATCATCCCATATGAACTCACCCTGTGCCCTCTGTCTCTGTCTCTCTCTGTATATATCTTCCAACTACTCTAATGCCAAGAAAGGTCTCATGAGTTACAAATATCATCTTATCATCTTTCCATGTAGGAATGTAAACAGTTCAGCTTTAATAAGTCCCTTATGATTTCTCTTTCCTGTTCACTTTTTCATGCTTCTCTTGACTCTTGTATTTGAAAGTCAGATTTTCTATTCAGCTCTGGTCTTTTCATCAAGAATAGTTGAAAGTCCTCTATTTCATTGAGTATCTATTTTTTCCCCTGAAGGATTATACTCAGTTTTGCTGGGTAAGGAATTCTTGGTTTTAATCCTAGCTCTTTTGACCTGGAATATCATATTCCAAGCCCTCCAATTCCTTAATGTAGAAACTACTAAATCTTGTGTTATCCCGATTGTATTTCCACAATACTTGAATTGTTTCTTTCTGGCTGCTTGCAATATTTTCTCCTTGACCTGGGAACTCTGGAATTTGGCTATGATATTCCTAGTAGTTTTCCTTTTGGGATCTCTTTCAGGAGGTGATTGGTGGATTCTTTCCATTTCCATTTTGCCCTCTGGTTGTAGAATATTAGGGCAGTTTTCCTTGATAATTTCTTGGAAGATGATGTCTAGGCTCTTTTTTTGATCATGGCTTTCAGGTAGTCCAATAATTTGTAAATTATCTTTCCTGGACCTGTTTTCTAGGTCAGTTGTTTTTCCAGTGAGATATTTTCCATTGTCTTCTGTTTTTTCATTCAGTTGGTTTTGTTTTATAATTCTTGATTTCTCATAGAATCATTAACTTCCATTTGCTCCATTATAATTTTTAAGGAATTATTTTCTTCAATAAGCTTTTGGACCTTCTTTTCCATTTGACCAATTCTGCTTTTCAAGTTATTCTTTTTTTCGTTGACTTTTTGGACCTCTTTGGCCATTTGAGTGAGTCTATTTTTTAAGGTATCATTTTCTTCAGTATTTTTTGGGGTCTCCTTTACCAAGCTGTTGACTCTTTTTTCATGATTTTCTTGCATCACTTTCATTTCTCTTCCCAATTTTTCCTTTACCCTCTTACTTGATTTTCAGAATCCTTTTTGAGCTCTTCCATGGCCTGGAACCAATTCATATTTTTCTTGGAGGCTTTGGATGTAGGAGCTTTGACTTTGTTTTCTTCTGGTTGTATATTTTGATCATCTTTGTCACCAAAGTAGGATTCTATAGTCTCAGTTTTTTTTTTCTGCTGTCTGCTTACGTTCCCAGCCAATTACTAGACTTTTTGATTCTTTGTTAAGGTAGGGCTCTGTTTCCAGTATAGAGGGTGTCCTGTCCTAAGCTTCAGGGGTTTTGTGCAACTATTTTCAGAGAAACTTCTAGGGACCTGTAAATTTTTAGTTCTTCCAAGGTGGTCTGATCAAAGATGAGCTGTTTACTCCTTTCCTGGCCTGTGCTCTGGTCTATGAGTGACCACAAGCATTCTTTTCTGCCTTGGGACTGTAAAGAGGATTCCCTCTCCACCACTGCCACAATTTCCACTATACTATCGCTCCTCCTCGCTCTAGGACCACCACCCAGAACTGTAACCCACATCCAGGCACAGACAAAGCAAGAGAATCCTGCTTCAGTGCCAGCAAAGAGATCCCTGCAATCCTCCTCTGATCAGCTCCCCAATTCCCCCACCTGGTGAGAGCTGAGAGTTCTGAAAGCAGCCGCCACAGCCACTGCCTGGGGGCTATGCCAGGGCTGGACCCAGAACATGCTCCTCTCTCATCCAGGTCTGACAGACCTTTCGTACTGACCTTTTAAGTTGTCTTTGGCGTTTGTGGGTTTAGAAATCTGGAAACCGCCACAGTTCCCAGTGATTCAGTCCCTTGAGGCCTGCTCCAGGTTCTCTGGGACCCCGTCTTTGTCTGCGTGGCCCACGCTGAACTACATTCTTCTCCCAGCCTGCCACACAGAACTTTCCCATCAACCATTTGTGTTGTCTTGGGCTAGAAATTTGTTTCATTCTGCCTTTTTGTGGGTTCTGCTGCTCTAGAATTTGTCTAGAGTAATTTTTTACAGGCATTTGGAGATGTTTGGGAGACAGCTCAAGCAAGTCACTGCTTTTATTCTGCCATCTTGGCTTCACCCCAATTGACCTACTTTCTAACCACACTTCTTCTGTCATACTTATGAAGTTAGTATCTAGCACTCAGTTTTAAGATTTCACATTTATCATGTATTGTTTTTCATTCTTATAGGTTGAATCTACACAGAGCATGATAAGGATTTTGGGACTTTCTGCTACATTACCCAACTACCTCGATGTTGCTACTTTTTTGCATGTCAATCCTTATATTGGACTTTTCTACTTTGATGGCCGTTTTAGGCCAGTACCTCTTGGACAGACATTTTTAGGAATTAAGACGACAAATAAGGTAAATATTCACTGTGAACGACTTAATTTTTAAAAGTATATTTGATGACAGGTTGCTTCAATAGCAAAGAATCAGATCCCTAAAATTGCATTATGTGAGTCTTTTAATCTTATTTTTCCCAACCTTTGGCCTTATTGCTTTACTGGAAGCATCCTCAAAAGTTACTAATTTGCTTTTATGTAACTCTTAAGAGCAATTCCACTAAAGACATTCTAACTCATGCCAGTTTCTTAATACTTACTTTTACAAATTCTTTTTTGAATTGTTTGTATTCTTTCCTCAGAATCCACATATAGTGCCATTTATAAATTTGACACAATTAGGCTTTCATAAATTTGACATAATTAGGAAGAAGATTCATATAAGTTAGTGAAATCTGTGGTTTAAGGAATTAATGCTTAGCTACCAATATACCATTAAATATATTTGAAAGAAGGTAGAGTCAAGACTGAGTAAGACAAAGCAGTTGAGCCTATCTCTCCACTGTCCATTGTCCACAATAATCTAGAAAATGTACCAGATAAAATTCTGATTGTGAAACCATCAGGGAGGGAGGGAAAGCAGGGGAAGGAAAAATGGAAAACATTATCTCACATAAATGGAGTGCTCAAGGAGTAGTTTATGCAACAAGGAGGAGGGAAAGGAGGTTACCCATGAACCTCACTGCCATCTAAACTGGTTGAAGGTACAAAGAATACATTTACACACGCACAGTTAGGTACAGAAATACATCTTACTCAATAAGGAAATAGGTGAGAAAAAGTTTAAGGAAATGAGGGGAATTAGAGGTGAATAGATTAAGGGGGACATTAATTAGAAACAACACAGATGTTTTAGGGGGCAGGGAAAAAAGAGAAGGGAAAGTATGAAAGAATAGGATGGAGGAGAAAAATACAGTTAGCAATTATAACTTAATTTTGGATGGGATGAAATGTTATAAAACAGAAGAGGATACATACTGAGTTAAAATAAGGGGCTGGAGCAGAGTCTATTATGCTTCAGCTGAAGTGAAAAAGGCAGGGGTGGTGATCCTGACCTTAGACAAAACAGGAGGAAAAATAGATCTAATTGAAGGAGATAAACAAGGAAACTACATTGTACTGAAAGGTACTATAGACAGTGAATTAATACCAGTAGTAAATATATATGCACTGAATGGCATAGCATCTAAGCTTTTAAAGGAAAAGTTAAATGAGTTATAGAAGGACATAGATAGTAAACCCACAGTAGTGGAGGACCTCAGTTTAATCCTCTCAGAGCTTGATAAATCTAACCAAAAAATAAACAGGAAATAAGGATTTTAGAATAGAATTTTAGAAAATTAAGATCTCATATGAACCTGGAGAATACTGAATGGGAACAGACGAGAATACAGTTATTTCTGTGTTGTACATGGCACTTTCACAAAAACTGACTACGTATTTTAAGGGAGAAAAACCTCACAAACAAATGCAGAAAAGCCGAAATATTAAACACAATCTTTTACTGATCATAATGTAAGAAATGCAAGAAAAATAAAGGAAATTTAAAGCAAAAAAAGAACAAATCATAGAAACAATCAGTAATTTCATTAAAAATAATAATGACAATGAGACAACATAATAAAATTTTTGGGATGCAATCAACACAGTACTTACGGGAAAATTTAGACCTCTAAAAGCTTTCATCATTAAAAGAGAAAGAGCAGATCAATAAATTGGATGTGCAACAATAACAACAAAAAAACCCTAGAAAACCAACAAATCACAATCTCCCAATTAAACACCAAAATAGAAATCCTGAAAATCAAAGGAGAGATAAAAATTGAAAAAAAATTGCACTAATAAATTAGGAGTTGATTAGCTAAATTTATTTTTTTGAAAGAAAGAATAAAATATATTTAGGATATATATTTTCATTACTGTGAGTTATATATAATTACTCAGCATGATACCTCATTGTAGCAAGGAAGTGATCCAAGATTATCAGAGTCTGTCAGCATTGTATGAACTTTATAACAGGTCCTTAAAATTATAAGATTTCTATTAGAATTCCAGTGTCTATATTTCTGTAATTCAAGGACCAACCTAGCTAAATTAAAAAATATACTAAATTAGCCTTAAGGTCATGAAATTTTCACCCACAGCTACTATTGAAGATCAACTTGGGCAATTTGTATCAGTGGAGGCAATATTGATGTCAGTGAAATTATAGATACTTGACATATTTAGGTACATAAAATTACTCAAAGTAGTCTGACAAAGTTGCTTATTGCAGCTCAATGACATCTAATCTTATTAATAAATACATAGGAAATATTTTATCCATTAAATATTCATTTTATTCAAATAAAGATTTTAATATATCTTGGAGATTCTTGAAAAATAGGTCCTATTATTTTATGTGTTCCTAGCAGTTTTGTTTATTCTATTAATTTGCTTGTCTTTCTTACTAAGTGCTTGGTGGAGTACTAGTAGAATTTCTTGTAATACCCAGCACATCATCGGTGTTTAATAAATGCTTTCTTGCTTGCTTGCTTGATTTTTCTTGATTTCTTAATAAATAAGAATTCAAGGGCAAATAGCTCAGACCTTACTGAATTTAGTATAAATTCCAAATTTGTGGGGTCAAAATTAATGGGACTTTGCTGTAGCTGACATTTTAAAGGTAAGCCAACAGAAATATATTCTCGAACTATATTGGCATAATAATCATAGGTTTTACTTTATATTTACTAAAAGAAACTTTCACAGAAGAACCTTTTTAAAAAACCAATCTTGGGGCAGTGAGGTGGTACAGTGGATAGGGTGCCGGCCCTGGAGTCAGGAGGACCTGATTTCAAATGCGGCCTTGGATACTTGATACTTACTAGCTATGTGACCCTGGGCAAATCACTTAACCCCGTTGCCTAACCGAAAAAAAAAAAAAAGCCCATATTAACTCTAATGCATTTTAATACTGTCTTTAACAGTGTCTTTTACTTGTAACTAGAATATAGAAAAACAGACACAAAAATTGATAAAAAAATTATTTAAGATAAAATATTACTCTCCCTACATTAAATAATTCAATCTGCAGTGCAGAAGCTACAGGTAATCTAAGAACTATAGGAAGCCATTTCTTGTCTCTACACAAAAGGGTATATTACCATTTGGTAATTATTACAGTGTGCATAATTTAGTCTTCATTAATTGTTTCAAGTGCCTTTCAGTGGTATTTACTCTTGCCTTTATTCAATCATATCTTAATTTTTATTATATTATCTAGTCTATTTTAAATATATCATTAAGCAAAGATAAAGATCTGTTTCTTACCTTTACCATAGACTTCTTAGTTAAAGTGAAAGTGGACTGTCTTTATAGAAAGCTTTAGGATGATTCACTGTTTGGGATACTCATCTTTTTTTTAACTTTAATTTTTTAAAAAATCTCATTACATAAAAAAGTAGATCACATTAGTCTAATTAGGTTGAAAAAAAATTTTTTTTTTACCAGTGACCAATAGAATCACACTTGCATAAGAAAATGTTAGAATGATGATCATCTGATAACTTGTTTGAGAATCATGGTGTCAAGCACATATAAATTAAAATTAAGAATATTTGTAATTTTTTTTATCTTTTCATGGTAAAAATTAATACAATTTAGAAATCAGTGCTTGCTATGGCCATACGCTACCTCCACTGTTGCCACTGATTCATTCATCCCTAAGGCTTGCTTCAGTTTGCGGAGCACATGACCTGTGCTGAACTGTGCTCCACTCTCACCCTAGCGCAACAGACCTTTTCTGCTGATCTTTTAAGTTGTCTTGGGCTAGAAAATTGTTTCACCCTGTCCTGTTCTGGGTTCCACTAGTCCAGAATTTGTTTTGAGACATTATTTAAAGTTGTTCAGAGGGCTTTGAAGGCGAGCTTGGGCAAGTTCCTGCCTTTTTTTTTGCCATCTTGGCACTGCTCCCAATTAGTAAATTTAGAAATCTATTATCATAAATCTATTATCTTAATTGTGGGTCAAAATATTAGTCAGGAAAATGTAACAAAAGATTTTCAAATTCCGTATATTTCCTGACCAAATATCCAAGTTTGTTTTATCTGATTATACTTCAAGTGTATGAGAGTACATTATCTTGTACATAAATGGTATTTCATAAAAGTTTGTGGAATTGAATTGGAATGTACATATATTTAAAAAAAAAAGAGAGGTCTGGACTTCACTGAATAAATTTCTAATTGTCATTTGTAGGCAGTTATTTGACCTTTATATTTTTTTAAGTTTCCTCATCATTAATGGAGAAAATAAAATCAGTTTTCAAGTTACATATTAGAGATTGAGCTGGTATGAAGGAATACAAAAGTACATTTCCTTAGATGTCTGCCATGTCTGTACCTGACATTCTCCCAGTTTTGTAAACATTGTTAATTCATTATAATGTTGTCAGAATTACATGAAAAATTGTTAGAGCCAGAAGCTGGATACATTGTTGACTTTGATTTGTAATGGAGTATAATTGTGGAAAAATTGTGGAAAGTAAGGGTAGGATAGAATGGTTCTTTATCTCACTTTACGTGGTAGTTGACTTTTATCAGAACAAATGGAAGTATTAAGAGAAATATAACATAAAGACATCCTTTCTCCTAAATAGTTTGAAGGGAGTTTGGCTTAATGGATGGTGGACTGGCGTAGAGTCCAAAAGACCTCAATTAAGTCATACTTTTCATGCTTAACTTTCTGTGTGATCCTGGGCCAAGTGATTTAATTTCTAGAAACCTCTCTAAACTAAGTTATTCACAATTTGCTGGTCTGCGTTGGTGGAGAAAGTTCCCTCCATCGATGAAATCACAGGCCTTTGCAAAATAAATACACACACAAACACATATGTACATATACACACACATATTTATACACACATTATAGGGGATAATGTCTCTAAAGAGCTTGGAGTTTCTGCCAAGGTTGTTTAAGCTATTTTTATCTGTTCATGTTTCCTGTATGAATTAAAATGGTTTCAGATATTTGTTAGAGGGGGATTGCCAGAAAAAGATGTGTTCTGTGTTTGATCTACAGTAATGCTTTATCATGTAGATTGAAAAACTAGAGTTGCTATCAGTTAAACATTTTCTTTTTTTTTTTTTTTTAACTTTCCAGGTGCAACAGTTGAATAACATGGATGAAGTATGTTATGAAAATGTTTTGAAACAAATAACAGCTGGACATCAGGTATATTTACTTGTTTAAAAATTATTTTAGAAACATTAATTGAAAAAAGTTAATTTTTAATTCCTGCTTAAGATATATTATTTTTGTCTTCTAAAATGATACATATGTGTTATTGTTTTTTTAACTGAGTCCTTATGAATACTGAAAATACTTTTTATTTGCATCTACTAGTTTTGTGTAGACTTTTTTAAAAAAACCACCTAGCAGAAGTAGTTGTTACAGAAAAAAATATACATAATTATAATTCCCTATATTGTACTACTTAAAGTATTTTTAAAAGTCACATTATTTGGGTCAAATTATTTTGTTTTGAAATCATTATTTTAAGTTCTATTTTGTAGTATTATATAGAATACAAATTTGGCCCAATAGCTTTATACCTAGAGCTTGTATTTCCTTTGTACAATAATTTTTGAGGGCACAATAATTGATAATATCAGTCTGACATTTATGTAACACTTTTAGCATCTGTTATGCCATTTTATCTTCACTAGAAATCTGTGAGATAGGTAAGGCAGATTTTTACAGATGAGGAAATCACAGTAAACATCTTTCATTATTATGGCATTCTTATTTGTGTACATGTCCTTCCCACCTGTTAAATGATAAGTACTTGGATGGTAGTAAATTTATCATCTTGGTTTTCTCAGTCTTAACTTACATATTCCCTTTGTACATTTTCTATATTTTGCTTTTTGGCAGTACCTGTGATTCATTGGTTTAGGGATCTCCTAGTGTAGAAACTCCCTTCACCAATGCAGTTCAGCTCACTGTAGATACTTAATAATTTTTAGATAATTTGAGCTCAGTAAAATCAATCTCTATTAAATAATTACGTCTGATTATAATAGATGTGTCTAATGCAATATAGCTGAATAAATGCTTAGATTTTTTCTTCTGCTGTTTAATTTTGAAATATTTTTCTGCAATAATCTACTATCAGTGTCAGTTATTAGAAATCTGTCTTCTCTACTTTTCTTAACTAACCAGTGTTCTATGCTGAGAAAACTTTTTCGATGTGATGAACATAGTTCTAAACTATGTAATTGTTTTGTAATTTTCCTTTTGGTTTCATTAAATCTATTTGCTTATATTATCAAAATAATTACTTTAAAAAAACCCTGGAAATGCAAATATAAATACCTTATAATGCACAATCTAATAAAATACTTTGAATTTTTATTTTGGTCAAGGCAAAAGATGTGTTTCTTAATTGCTGTTTTGGAAGTAGGAGTTAAAATTGGAATTATCTTATAGAACAGTCTTTCAGGTTAGGGATGACTAGAAACTAAAAGATTGTTAAGTTAAATCATTATTTTATCTAACAAATACCTGTCAGTGAGCAGATTATTGCCTTTTTCAGATACATAATTGTTCTTAAAATTGTGGTGAAACATATAAACAAGTACTTTTCATAAACAAATTACTTTTTAAAGAAAATAATTATTTGTGGTCTAAGTTTTGAAATTTATGAATAACTTCTTCCTTTGTATAGTACTTTTTTTTTTCCAAAGCACATTATTTCATCTTCAGAACAATTTTTTAAGTTAGGTAGGGTAGGTTCTCATTTCCATTTTACTGTTGGGAACTGATCAGTAAGTTATAAAGCCAAAACTAAATAAATACTCTTTTTTGATTTCTCATCTAATGTGTTTTCCAGTTACATTGTTCTGCTTGTTTAAATCAATATATAAACTCTGTAAAGAAGGAAGTTGATGAAGTCAATTGAATGATTGAAATGTTGCCCCTACTTCCTATATCTGATTAGTTTGAGGTATACTTGGAGGTTCAGGGTATCAAAAGATTTGAGTAATGAAAGGTAGATATTTGAAGCCGTTACTATTCATTGTGCGTTCTCTCCTTGATTTGGAGAAGAGTTGATTATCAAGCATTTGTGCTGGGGTAGTATTCCATGGTTGCCAAGGGAGTAGAAAGGCAACTGAAATATGAGGTCTTGGTAGCGGTAGAGCTAGAACCAGAGACTTACTATCCTGTGGGGTTAGGGAGCATGCATCAAAGAAGGTGGATTTTCTTTTGGTGTGGTGATAATGTTTGGTTCAAATTGTCCAAAACAATAGTAGGAAGCTTGAGGTGGTTGAGCCCTGGTATTCTCAGGTCTTCATCCCATTTGTTATCATTCTGGTGTATCTAAGTTAAGTGTTCATGGGTATTTTTCCTAGTCAAGGCCAATACCTAGGGTTCTTTCACATTTCATCGATATCAAAGTCAAGGAATCTTAATATTTTGAAATCAGATCCAATCTAGTGCTACTATTTAAAATTGTACCAGTGGTGATTGCTTATATTTTCTGTCTCAGGAGCTAGGAATTGCCTGTGGCAGGAACAATAAACATTTGTAATTGGGGAATTTAATAGAGCCATTGTTGGATTCTGTAGGGTTTTAGTCTTCATTATGATAATCACTATTTGACATTACATATATTTATTAGATAAATTCTTTTATTCCCTTTTAAAATTAAATATCCCTAGATTTAAAAGTATCTATTTTAGATAATAACATGTACCTTCTTATGGAAAGTCGTTTCTGATCTTCCCTTTTCGAATGAACCTTCTACTCAATGATCAGCTTATATGTAGCTAAAGCAGATCTCTGAATGCATAGCATGATTTTAGTTTTGCTTAGATCTTCCTCTTCCCTATTAGCCTACTATTGGCCCTGAAATGCCATCATTAGAAATTTACTAGTTTTTAATATAATGCATGTATCCTTGCAGTGACATTTAATGCTGTCATTCATTTGCACTTAAGTATAAATGGTGTTGAATCTCTTTTCCAGTGTGATCAGTACATAAGAACAATGGTAAATAGGAGGATAGATCCAAAGCTAAATGGATCACCTCATCCTTCAAAACCTATAACATACAGATTATTTAGGAGAGTGGGGAAAGACTCTGGTCAGATTGGGTTAGGTATGAGATTTCTGGAAACCTCTTTGGTTGGTGGGTGTCATGAGGAAGGAGATGAGTGTAGGAAGATGATAGTCACCCTTGGCTTACTTCACAGTTTTGCCTAATGTCAACCATACTTCTTAATAAAAATGTTTCTGAGACAAAGCTATAGGTTTATATATTTGATTTAGAGTTAGTATTGTTTTAGAATTTCACATCTTGAAAAGGCCTTAGAATTCATCCAAGACATAGAAATTCTGAAAATCAAAGGAAAGATTAGTAAAATGAAAATAAAAAAGCCATTTAACTAATAAATGATACTAAGAGCCAGGTGAGAAAACTGATAAAATAGGTAAGCCATTGGTTAATTTTATTTTTAAAAATGAAGAAAACCAAATTACCAGCATCAAATTTAAAAAAGTGAATGTGCTGCAACCAATGAAGATGAAATTAAAGAATTTATCTAATTCTATCTCCCCATCCCTATCTCTTTTTACAGCTGATGAAACTGAGACTCATAGAAGTTAGGTTATATATCACAGATCATACAGCTTTGCCTTTATTTAGGTCTGAATTTTGGAAACAGTGATTGCAGCCTGTTTTCTCAGATTAAAGTATATTCTTGAGTGGTGAGTATAAGTGGCTAGATACCATAGTAAAAGAGTGCTGGGCCTAGAGTTAGGAAGATCTGAGTTCAAATCTAGCCCCAGACATTTGCTAGCTGTGTACCCTTGACAAGTTACTTAAACCTTTCTTGACCTAAGTTTCATCAGCTGTAAAATGGAGATAATAATACCTGCCTTCCAGTGTTGTGAGGATCACATGAGATGGTATTTGTAAAACACATAATAGTTTCTAGTTCATAGTAGGCACTTTAATAAATGCTAGCTATTATGAGAGCTCACATAGCCCACTGTATCTAGTCAAGTACAGACCCTTTCTTACCCTTAATATGCTTAATAGCCCATGCTTATCCCTCTATTGTCACTGAGTGAGTACATCTGCCTTCCCTTGTTCCTCCTCCACACTGTTCTATCTCTGACTCTGACTCAAATTGCACTATCATTATCTTGGGGAATATTCTTTCATCCAACTTTCCTATAGCTTCACTCACCATCTTTGGGACCTCCCAGACTAAAATACCCCTCCCTGTATATGTTGTTGTTGTTCAGTTTCAGTCATATAATTGTGACTCAGTTTGGGGTTTTCTTAGCAAAGATACTGGAGTGGTTTGCCATTAACTTCTCCAGTTCATTTTACAGACGAGGAAACTGAGGCAAACAGGGTTAAGTGGTTTGCCCAGGGTCATACAGCTAGTTAAGTGTTTGAGACCAGATTTGAACTCTGGTCTTCCTTACTGTAGACCTGACACTCTAAACACTGTGCCACCTAGTTGCCCCTCCCTTTATGTGCTGTTTCCTCCCATTAGAATATAAGGTCCTTGAGGGTAGAAACTTTCTTGGAATAATAAATCTAGAGCAGGATTTGAACCAGGTCTCCTAATTGTAGAGCCAATGATCTTTTTTCTTTGCCATGTTTACTTTTTGTGTTGTTTCCTTAGCACAAGGAAAATATAGTAAGCATACAACAATTGCTTTTTCATTCATTCATTGGATTAATTATATGAGAATGCATTTGGTTTACCTAATTAAGGACTCTTCGTATACCTATTTCATGGTTTGGGATAAGATGGGAGTAACTAGGGCAAGAATTGCAAACATGAGAAAGCATTATTTCACTCCTCTCAACCTTAGTATTATGACTTCCTTGATTACCAGCAGAATAAAGAAGTATATAAGGCATGTAGAAGGAATCTTCATCCCACAGAGCACCTTAAAAATACATAAAGTTGGATGTGGGAGATGTAATTATGATTCAGGTGACCATTGTCATAATTTTTATAGAAAATATCTGTTCTGTCAAGATGAATTTTTGAGTTTCTATGTTTGCTGCAATATTAGACCCCAGGAAGCAAGTTTCATATTACATACTACTGATTACTAGTGTTATCTCTTGTTGTTTTCCTTGATTCTTGGAATTTCTTAGGATATATATAAACATAATACTGCGGCAACTTTTTATACCCATAAAA